TCGTTGGCCAGAATGGGCAGTGATGGAGGGGGGAGTGCTTCTTTCAAAACATCGCATGCTGAGTGGCTGTCCCGTGATGTCAGCTGTAATGTCAATGTAACTGTTGGAACTAGGTTTATCTCTGAGCATGGTGATTTAAGAATGTGATTAACAAAAATGGTTCCAGACATCAAGAAATTGGCATCAGTTCACCAAGCACAGGGCAGCCATTGATGTTTTTTTTTTTTTTGCTTTTTGTGTACATACATTTTTTTCATTAATAATTGTCTCAGCTTTTATCGTTGTATTTGCTTGCATTGGATTTCACGTTCCAGTTTGAGTTTTCAGCTTTGTTTTCAAATTTTTGTTGTGCTCTGTAAAACATTTTGTGTTTCTCTTTGTATTGTACTTTTTTAGCGTGCACTCCAGTTCAATATTTTCTTTGTGTCTTTTTAATCCTTTTTACAGTGTGTGTAACTATATATACTTTCCTCAAATCTTAATTTAGTTTCAGAGTTTTCGTCTTGAAATTCTTAGTTCCTGCACTGCGGTTTGCTCTTATGCCCTTTTTATATTTCTTTTTGCGTCTTAAATTTCACTTGTAATTCAATCATTAAATGTTACTGTTTTTCTTTTCGGACATTTCACTTTCTTGCAATTGAATTTTGTTTTCAGTGGTCACTACATTTAAGTGTCTTGAATAAATAAGATAATAATGAAATACATGTATCACGAAGTTTGAGAATAAAGTGACGGGTGGCACCAAAATTTTTCACACAGTTGAGATATGGGAAAAAGACTGGAAATAAATTATTTGCATCGATATGTCCAGATGACAATTTTAAAGAAAACTAAAAAAATGTTTGCATAAATTGAAGAATTATTTCCTATGTTGTGATTGAGAGGTTATGTTGGGGGAAGGGGGAAATGATAACATCCTCATTGGCTCAAGGGGGTGATTCGTTCAAAAAGGTTAAGAACCACTGGATTAGTGGACACCTACACTGAACAGTGATTTGGATGACTTATCACTGAAAGGATCCCTTTCAACTCATACTTTGTGAGATGCTATGGTGATAATGGGAACTTAACCACGGTGAAATCTCATCGAGTTTCTTGGGTATTATTCTTTCCATAGCTTTATTTTCTGCATCCCCTGTTCCCAACAATACATAGCTTTATTTTCTGCATCCCAACAATACATTTTTTTAGCAATCTTAAGAAGTATTCCTTCAGGTACAGCACGTGACTAAATTAAAAGAAACATTCCAATGTTTTTCAATTATTCCTCAGGATATTATTTTCTCTTTTTTATATAAGCCAAACTTTTGAACCCATACTTCATCTTTAAAAAGTACAGACTCTTCTTTTTCTATTTCCACAATCATTAATATTCACCTAGTCTGCTATTGCTACCTTCTTGTCTTGCAGCTATATAGACTACATACATACATAAAGTGACTGCAACCAAAAATCATTGAGCAACATATAATGCTCGCACAGGTAGTTTCTGGGAAGCTTCAATTTTATTTAATGAACATTTTAATTATAACTCTGTTCTTTCAGCTGTATTTTATTGTTAGCCAACTGAGCAATATTTCTAATGGGCAGGTAGACCATGAAACAAATGAATGTATTAATGCAGTCTACTATGATACTGAAATGCTCAGAAGACAGACAAGTGCAGACAGGCTCAGAAAAATAAGCAGCATTTAAATCCTTTTTATATCAAGGAAACAAATATATTTTGTTTACAAATATATTCCACTGATGTCAAGGAGGAATGTCCACCCAATGGCTATAGAATCAATTTCCTCAACCTGAATCTCTCCGATGATCTTGGCAGCTGGGTTTCCTGGAAGATTAATTAAACTTCCCTAGTGGATTCCATATTTGGAAAAGTTGCTACTGAAATGTCAGCACAGGCAAGATTAACAAAACTGACTTGTTAGTTTTGTGACAGGTTAGGACCAAAAAAAAAAAATTAGTACTGATTGAACAAAAAACAAACATATAATTGGGACTAGCTATCTGTCCACCGAGTCTATTCACAAGGACGATGAATGAGGAGATAAATTTAAAGGAAATGTACTATGTATGCTGTTTATTGATCCCAGAGGAAAGAAAGAATATAAATATAATGAGCACTGCCAACACAAACGGTAACAAATTGCACGCTTCCAATTCATGCAGGCTTCTCCAGAGAAATGGATGATGATGCATCTTAAATGAGGTAGCAGATAGAAAATTGTTATCTTGGTAACCCAAATCAAAACAAGTTCTGAATTCTCCATTCTTAATTATCTTCCCTTCATTGTTCTAAATATGGTATTAGAAACAGCCTCTAAGGCAGTTGGTAGCCATCTCTGTCTCCTCTTAGACTCCTCTAGCCAAGCTCATTGACCTCATCTGATATGCAAAGCCTGGTAGCCTATAATTCTGCTTCATCTCCTTCTGCTTACTTACCTAACCATTAAACTAAGCCAGGGGTAGTCAACCTTGGCTCTTTTATGACTCGTGGACTTCAATTCCCAGAATTTCTGAGCCAGCTTAGCTGGCTCAGGAATTCTGGAGTTGAAGTCCACGAGTCATAAAAGAGCCAAGGTTGACTACCCCTGAACTAAGCTATAGGCTTTTGAATAGCTCTTCCATAAGAAATGTTAATCAAATATTTATATAAAGTAGGTAGTCCTTTTGTGAAGAGGTTTCTAAGTGAAACCGTGACTGTGCTTCAGTTTTCCTTTGATTTACAGACTTGCAAAGGTCTAGATTCAAGGACTGGCCACAAGCTTATTTCTTCATCACTGTCATAACTGTGAACAGTCCCTAAAGAAGACAGTTGCTAAATGAAGACTACCTGCAGTGGATCTCACATCTAACATTTTTCACTCAGAGTTCCAATGTCCACACATGAAACTAATTGGTTACTCTCTAAAAAATAGATTTTTGAGCTTCAGGGATCATTTATTCATTCATTATCTAACAGAAAGTCCCTTTGCACAATGCAGTGTAGGGATATACACAAAGTATTTCTCTGCAGCCTCATTTTTATTAGTTCATTTGTTTATTTTCATTCTTACCAAGCTTGAAAACAGATGCTTCCAGGAAGCACAAAACAAATCTCCACATGAGCGATATTATGGATGCAAAAAAGAAATCTCATCAGTGGCCCACCCCATAAGCGATCCAATTTCCTGAAGCAATAACAGTTCCCTCCCTTCTATCTCATAAAAAGGGAAATAATATAATTTGTTACAGTTCTTTCATTCCTGTCCATATTTTTAACTCACATTTGTTGAAAGTTTCTTTTAAAACAAAAACTGATTGATTGCTCTGCAGAAAGGGTTATCAGCACCAAAGACATTTTTTTCTCTCTTGCATTTAATGATGCAAGGCTTTTGAAAATTAATGACGGGGAAAATATCTTCCTCAGCACTTCTAACCATGCTTGCACGTTATTTGTAGCAGCTAGTGCAGAAAAGGGGGGAGATTCCTTTAAAACAAGGCCTAGGGTGTTATCAAGAAGCAGATGCTGAAGCTGAAGGCAGGTGATAAGAGGGAGGCACAAGTTCTGTATATTTCTCTAGAATATTAATGAATCAATCTCCAGAATATAATGGATATAAAATAGAGTACCATCGTTGTTCTACCACCAGGCTTGCTTGGTAAAAAGGATATGGCTCTGTCCAGATATTATAATTCATGATAAAAGAAGGTGCCTGATAGTTTCTGAAGTATTTTTTTTTAAGTTTAAGACCGATTTTCATTTGTTCATACACTTAAAGGAGCCTACAACCACTATAGTTGTAGCCAATTGTGTATGTCTCAAAAAACACTGGCATCCAATATATCTAATAATGTACTACCACATTTGCTTTAAGTATCATTTTCATGAAATAATTTCAATTTGCAGATTTTATGAAAGCATATAGGGAAGAAAAGTAACATTCAGATCCTGAAATATATAATAATATTTGACCCACATTTTTATATCTTTAAACAATTTATAATTAGAAAGACAAGACCTGAGACTGTCTCTGAAATTGTATTTCCTCCAAGCTATAACAATTTATACAGCTTTTAACAGACCGAAACTATAGTTCTCCATGACAATAAAAACATAAAATATAGACTGTAGAATTGAAAGCAGAAATGCTACTTAAACCTAATTACAAGTGTTGAGAGTTTCTTAAGTGAAAATATAAAATTTATATCTACACTAAACACAGGTCTGAAAGGATATAAATGCTTTTCTTTAAAACAGGTCATTCTTTCCAACATAATACTCTGAACTTGATAATGGCTCATCAAACTCACTTTACCTGCTTCTTGGGAAGAATAATTAACAAATCAGCTTTATAGTATGATTTTAAGTTCCTTTGATAACTGAAAAGTTTGTGCTGTAAAATTTATTCTCAGGAAAGCATGCACATGAATTATAGCTTGTAGTCCAAATACATTCACATTTACTTCATTAGAATTGAGGTGGTTGGTAGGGTCTCGGCTATTCACCCAAACCCTAACCCTAACCTCAAACACCATGGTATGTTCCAATAAATGTTTATGAGAGTTAACCCTTTTGAATGTGGTCTTCCTTGATTCTATTTTTAATGCTACTGTCTTCTAATAGCTAGATAAGATTTATTTGGTTTTAGCTTACAATTAATAAGCCAGTCAAGTGTGGTTTATTCATTAAACCATGATTTAACAAACAAAAGCTTAACACAATGGGCAACCTATTCTTAAGATCATGGGGGGGGGGGATTTTCTGGATTTTGTACTCAAAGTTTTCTTTATGCAGTTAATCTATCCCTAGAATGCCCTTCCCATTTGAGCAGCAATTAAAGCTCAGTTGTCCAAGCAGTTTAAAATGTCATGCTGGTTTGGTCTGTTATTTCTATGTTCTTCATTTAATTTATGATATAACTGTATAAATTTACAATATTATATTGAAACATACTTGGATTATATTCCACATATCATATACTCATGCCTTAAGATAGGAAAGGTTATATTAATACTTTTTCAATTGCCTGGACAAGTCCTTCCAGTTTTCTTGGCAAGGATTTTCAGAAGTGACAGAGTGACCCAAAGTCACCCAGCTGTTTAAGGCACCAAATTCCTGAGAATTAAGATTATCTAAGGAGGGAAAAAAAGCAACAAAAATTAGAACCAAAATCCTTTGAGAACTAAAACCCACTTTATCATATGTACGATTTTCAGCAAATGTCCATAACCATCTTAACCCTACATGAGATGAAAAAACAAACAAATCCATCTTTCGAATACATTTTAATGAACCAAACCCCAGGACCGGTGTTAGGCGTTCCTTTCCAGACCTCGGACATCGGGTCTAAGGCGTCCTCCCTTGCAAAAAGGGAGTATAGCTTCCTGCAAGCGACGCGCAGAGCATCGCGGCCGATTCGCTTCCCCCGCCGACGCCTCTGCTCCAGGCCTTCCAACGCCTTCCTTCCTTTGCAAAGCTCTCCGGCGATCTTCCTATTATTATTCCGATGGGTCCAGCCTCCCCCCTGCTCCGAGGTTGCGCCTGGGACCCAGGCGATGATGGGGAACGCCCCAGCCCGCATCAAGAATGGCCACTGTGTAGCCGGGCGACCACGTGACACTCTCCGAGTCACGCCGCACGTCACGGAAAGACCACTCCGCTTTTCTGCCCCCTCCCTCAGCTCCGCCCAAGCCCAAGCCCGTTCACCATGAGGAGGGGGCTCTGTGGCGAGGCGGCGGAGCGCGCATGCGTCTGCGTGGCCGGCTGCTTTCCTCCTTCCCCCCCGCCCCCCAACCTCCCTCAGCCTATTTGCGGCTGTGGCGGCTGTAGCCGAAACAGTAGGAAGAGCGAGCGCCGAAACGGCGTCCCGATTTAGCAGGGCAGCCGCGGAAAGGGCAGAGGGAGGGCAGGACTGGGGCTGCTTTGGAACTGAGACGGACGGAAACGGAGCGGAGCCGGGATCGAAGAAAGAGCAACGCGCGCCACACCCAGCTCCGCCGCGTATCTTTCCTGCTGTGGCGCGCCAGGCTGCTTGGGCAGTCCGCCGGTCTGGAGAGCTGCTGGCCATCTCCCAGCCGCCGCCTCTTCCTCCTCTTCCCAGCTACTGCAGGAAAAGCCCCGCCGCCGCCACCTCCCTCCCCGCCTCCCACTCGGGCGCCTTTTCCCGCCCCCACCGCCTCCGGTTGGAAGGGCAGAGAGAGGGAGAGAGGGAATCTCTTTCAGCTGGTCGGAGAGCTGCTCCTTTCCAAGAGCGAGGACGGCGCGGGGCAGGCAACCCGCCTGAGGAATCGCCCAAAGTTGCCCTTAATTGGCGTTATTTCCCAATTGGCTTGGAGGATCGAGACAAAGCGCCCGAGGAGAAAGGAGGGAAAGGAAGGGGGGGGGGGAAGAGGGCACCCGAGCCTTTTCCACATTCCTATGCAGTGCAAAAAGAGAGGCGGAGAGGGAGATCTCACCCCGTAAAAAACCATCGCCGAGGTCGTCGCGCCCGCCTCGCTCCTGCCGCCGCAACAAAATCGAGGTCGAAACGTGATTCGGGTTTTTTTGACAGATGCCCGTTTTTGCCAGCGCGGCTCCTTCCAGCAGGAGAATCATGTAGATCCCTTGGAAAGGGGGGAGGGCGGGGGGGAGAGGAAGAGGTTCCGCGGGCCGGGGTGGGGGAGGGAGAGGGAAGAAAAATGGGGGATGCTGCAGACGTCAAGGAAATGAAGAAGACGTTCATTGTCCCAGCCATCAAACCGTTTGATCACTACGATTTCGCCCGAGCAAAGATCGCCTGTAATCTAGCGTGGCTAGTGGCCAAAGCCTTTGGGACAGGTAGGTTGATGCTTTTTGTCAGCGCCTCCATTTCTGCCATTCTGGATTCTTGCTCTGCTTCTTTTACTGCTGCATGTGTGAATCACCCATCCGTTGAAGATACGAATAAATCATTTTTAAAAAAAGGAATTAAGGAAAATAATTCGAGGATGGTATCAACATGATTAATGTGCAACGTTTTATTATAGCTTTGGGTCACTGCTACAATTGCGATTTGTGCTACAGTGTGTGTGGGTTGCCTTCCCATGAATGATTTTTTTAAAAAAGCAAACAGATTGGCTTTTCCATCAGCTTGTATGCAAAGGGTACTTCCTTTGACCTCTTCCTCCTTAAATAGACACTGTTTTTCCATTTAAATAGGGAAAAAATTGAAAACAAATGTTGAATGTTGTTTTTGGCATTTGGGGACTAGTAATTCAGATTAGGTGAAACACAGTGGTATCCTTTCAAAACAATGCTCAGGGTTTTCTCCTTGTCTAATCCATTGGAAGAAGGTTGAAAGAAGTATGAAAAGGGGGAGCGTCTTTTGATTGCAATCTAGGCTGTAAAGAGAAGACTAGCCTTTTCCCCACCAAAGGCTTTCAGGGAATATTTACCCAAAATAAAAAAAAATGAAGTGACAATATTAACACAGAGAAGGCAACGATAAATAATGGAAATAAATAATGGAGGCGTCTCCCAAAGCATTACAAGGTGACCATCTGTCATTGTTCAGAATCTCGTCTGTTTTGTTATTGTCTAGTATAGAAAACGGGAAAAAGGTATCTTTCTACTTTCAACTCTTCAACTGTTGAATTTAATATATAAGGTAACAAGATAACAGTTGTGATTTGTTCCTGACAAAAGGTTAGAAGGTACCTCTCTTAAAATAAGTATCCTGTGGGAAGTAGCTGTCACAAATTATCAAGTTAATGTACAAGAGAGTAGCAAGATTTATATTCAATTGTCAGCCTGTCTTTATTTGCACAGGGTTTTTTAATTATCTTTCAAGACTTTGTGTTTCCCCTTCTTTTTAATAATTGAATGTTTGTGTTTAAAAATGCTGATGTGCTGGAAATTTAGGACAGTTCCTAAATCTCAGAAATGGTACATACTCTTATTATCCACTACATAGGATTTCACTTTGCAGGTACAATCTTGAAAAACATTTTAATTATGCACAGTGGTAATGTTGAAGTAATTATTGTCTGATAAACAAGTGAAACCACATTCCTAAATTTCAGTTCATCAAAAGAGTACAAGCATCAAGTACACAGAAACCAGGTGATATGTGTGAATGTGTGAACTCTAAGCTACAATCCTGTGTGTTCATTTAAATCCCATTATGTCCCATTGAGGCATTATGTCTCATCGAAGTCAGTGAATGATTTCTAAGTAAACAGGCACACATGATCAATTTGGACAAATGTGTAATTTATTCTAAGATAAAGGATTTGGTAAACATGCAAGCAAGATAGTTGACTATTTTCTGTTTAAAAACTTTACTCTCTTGGTCAAAACGCCACTATTCAGAATTATATTTTATAGAGCTATTATTTAAACTGTCCATTTGAAAGATAATTTAAGAAAGGATGACAAATAAGTATATGCAGCATGAAACACAGAAGTATATTATTTCTTTGCATGAAGCAAAATTTAGAAAATGATGCAGACACAGAAGACCATTATAACATCTCTTGAATCAGTTACTCTTCACAGAGAGTCATAGGTCTTGTAAACGTATGGACTTATTATTCAGGAAAAACATCAGACATTTTACCAAAGTGTAAATGTTGCTTTTGTATTATGTTTTCACACTACTCCAATTGTTTCATTTTGATTTCCAAAATAACTTGTTTTGTGACATTATTTACTTCATGCTTGAATTGGAACTGCCGCTGATCAAGAAATGCTTGTGATTTGATAGTCTATCAATTTTTTGTAGCCTATTCAGTTGGTAGCTTTGAAGTTTGCAAGTATAATGGAGAATACATTCAGAAAATGGTTGCTGTGAGCGAACTGCAACATTCTTGTTGCTAAAATGTCAATTATCTATTATCATACATTTAACGGAAGGCAAATTAAACAAGTTGCTGCCTGCTACCACTTCTAGCTTGTTCTCTGCCATCTCCATCTTATTGTGTCTTTTTTGTAGCCATCTTCCAGGGGGACTGGCTGGTGAACAGAGACTCTATTGAACATGAAGGCAATGCTAGACACTAGTGCTTTGCAGTGTATCAGCTGTTGTTGAATTTAATGAAATGTAAAAGACTACTTCCCACTATATCACCCAAGTAACACCATCAATGAGGCTGGCTCTCAATATAAAGTAAGACCTTCTTCATAGAAAGTTAGGATACTTTCCTAGGGAAGTATGGATGGTCCTCATAATGTCTTGCTTTACTTGACAATTGGGCATTTACCACAACTGCTTCTTACTTCTCTTTAAAATGAATCCTTGCTTTAATCCTTCTCTGGTGGGTGTAGTGTTTTGTTTTATGGGGGCTTGTTTTACTTTTTATTCTTTTGATTAAAGTTAGCTTTTTTATTTGTATTCTGCTCTGGGTTCTTTTATGGTGTCAGCGGTGGAGATGTTTGTTGTTATATTAGGAACTATGGTCATCAAGTTACCCACCTTTTGCCTATTTTAATAATTATCTCATCTGAAAATAACTGCAGATCATGTTTAGCTATTACTGTTGACAGTTTTAGGAATGATGCATTGTGTAAATCTAGGTACTCCAGTTTGTTATCATTGCTTTATGGCTTATTATTGTTTGTGAAGCCACCATAAATGCTATTTTAAAAAAAAACAGTCCATAGTAGACTCATTAGGATGTATGAATGAATCATTCTTCTAATTTTCTTAGAAGAAAAAGCTCTTGGAGTTATGTATGTGTATCTCTCTGTCATTGTGCTGAAACTACGTTCCTTACAATAGGGTTCTCAAACATAACATTCAATGGAATTCTTTGCCCCTAGAACAGTGGTGGCGAACCTATGGCACGGGTGCCAGAGGCGGCACTCGGAGCCCTCTCTGTGGGCACACGTGCCATTGCCCCAGCCTCGCCTCCCCCAGCAGCCCCCCTGAAAGAGAGTCGCCCCTGAGCATGGCCCACGCGGAGCAGCGCAGCCAAGGACATGGCAGCCAGGCAGTGTAGACAAGACTCTACCCTCACACCCCATTGTGCACAGTTGATGCTGCAGGGCTCAGGCAGAGGGCATGACTGCCATAGCGCTGCTGGGCTGCCTGGGTGATCTGTGGCGGGCCCTGGAGGCGGTGAGTGGCCGTGTGGGCAGGTGGGGCGGGGGATGGGGGGCAGGGGGTGGAGCAGGGGCGGGGCCAGGTTTTGGGCACTCAGTCTCTAAAAGGTTTGCCATCACTGCCCTAGAAGATTGCTACCAGTATTTCACCTCTTTTATTATCTTTATAAAGCAAAAAAACCTAAAAATCTTAGGATTCATTAATACATCACAACAAACTATGGTTTCTTCAACTACGGTTTGTTATATAGGGCCTTAATTAAGTGAATATATACAAACCACAGTGGCTGGATTCAGAAAATTCAGTTAAGTAAAATGCAGCCTAACTACCTTATGGTATAATACAAGGCATAAATGAATTTCATCAGTGTTTAATATTGCAGCAGTCCCCAACCTTTTTAGCACCAGGGACTGGTTTCGTGGAAGACAATTTTTCCACAAATGGGGAGGGGGCAGAGGAGAAGTGCACAACCTAGATCCCTCGCATGCACAATTTAGAGTTGGCTTCTCTGTGTAGCCCAGTTCCTAACAGGCCACAGTCTGATACTGGCCCAGGGCCTGAGGATTGGGGAATCCCTGTAATATTGCATACGGGGTCATCAACATATGAAATCCAATGCCCTATCAGTTTAGGCAGTCCTAAGCAGCTTTGGTTTCTGAACATAGAAATGATTGTGTTTCTGAACACAGAATGGAACGTTTATTTAGGTTGAGGTACTGTATTGACCCTGTAAGATTTTCCTAATTCTTGTAAGAATCATCAGCAAGAAATATATTGCCTGTTATCAGGCAATATAAAAATAGACTATATATACATAGGTACATCAATTTTTCCCCCTGTAGCAATTGTTAGCAAAACTGCTGTTTTTCTGTTGCAGCTGGCACCAAGGAGGTCATTTTGTTGCCTTCCAACTAAGTGTTATCAATTGAACAATGGAGGAAACTGGATAAGCTCTTGGCCGTACAGAGGTTATCTTTGTGCAACATACTAACTCATGATTTAACTGAACCGTGGTTTACTAAATCCAACTGCCTGGGTTCAGCCACACAGATGAACCCAAGCTATTAGGTTTAGTAAGCCATGCATTTAGAACAAGGAGGTGGTTTATGCTGCCCATTTTCACAATGCATATAGTGCTAAGCAGTATTAGCATTAGGACTGGGCCTTATTCTTGAAATCTTTATTGAAGTGCAAATCACTGATTTATACTGTTGGAAATGTTCGTGCTTTAAACACCCAGGCATAGTCCTAAGTCTAGGATAGGAAATGTAAGATTCTGATGGGCTTCAGATAAGTGTATTGAGTCTCTAGAGCAGGGGTGTCAAACTCAATTTCATTGAGAGCCGCATCAGCATTGCAGTTGTCCTTGGGGGGGGTGGGTAGATGTGGCCAGGGTGGGCATGGCCTACTGGGTGGGCGTTGCTGGAGTGGGTGTGGCCTACTGAGTGGGCATGGCCAGCTCTACATCATTCGCATCAAGGGTGCCTGTGGGGGCCTGGGCAGGAGTAGGACAGATCTGAGGGTCTCTGGCAGAAGG